CCCAGAGGGCAGTTAAGAGTCAACCACATTGCTGTGGGTCTGGAGTCACATGTAGGCCCAGACCAGGTAAGGATGGCAGTTTCCTTCCCTAAAGGACATTAGGGTTTTCCCCAACAATCGGCAATGGATTCACGGTCATCGTTAGGCTCTTAATTCCAGATATTTATTGAATTCAAATTCCACCATCTGCTGAGGCAGGATTCGAACCCAGGTCCCTAGAACGTTATCTGGGTCTGTGGATGAACAGTCCAGCGATAATACCACGAGGCCATCACCTCCCAGGGTGGTTACAGTGGATACAGCAGGATAGAGGCAGGCTGTAGACTTGTGCGGTGAAATGGGAGATGGAGTTTAATCCAAGCGAATGTGAGACGATGGATTTTGGACAGTCCAATGCATGCAGACAGCAGATGGCACTGCCCTTAGAAGCGTCAACATCCAGAGAGAGCTGGGCACACAGGTCCACAGTGCCCTGAAAAGGAGGTGGTTAAGATGGTGCCTGGCGCAGGGTGTGAAAATCGAAAAGTCGCTTCGCAGCTGCGTGGAACCTCAGGCCGCGTTTGGAATGCTGCACCCAGTTCTGGTTGGCACACGAGCGGGAGGATATGGAGACATTCGAGAGGGGGCACAAAGAAGGTTCACCACGATGGCGCCTGGTCTGGAGGGCATTAGCTATGAGGAGAGATTGGACACCCTAAAATGTCGGAGGCTAAGGGGGCGATCTGAGAGAAATTTACAAAATTAGGGGCGGCATCAACAGAGGAGACAGTTGGGTCATTTTATCAGGTTGGAAACGTCAGTGATGAGGGGACATATAGCATGGGGACACATCCTTCGGCCCAACTTGTCCATGCTAACCAGATATCCTAAATTCATCTAGTCCCATTTGCCAGCATTTGGCCCATATCCCTCTAAACGCTTCCTATTCATGACCCCATCCTGATGCCTTTTAAATGTTGTAATTGTACCAGTCCTCAACTCACTCTCCCTCACACACAGAGTATGTATGTGAGCGAGAGTGAGTGTATGAGAGAGAGAGCGTTTGTGCGTGTGAGACCGTGTGTCTGAGAGATAGCATATGTGAGAGAGCAAGGCTGTGTGTGTGAGAGATAGTATATGTGAG